CCTAAGAGGCGAGCGACCTTGTCTCTCTCCAGCGGAGCGCGGAAAATGAGGATACTTTTTGCGGTGGTGTCTTGACCGCTCGGCACGTAGGCCGGGGGTTTCCAGTATACCTAATCGCTTCGTCGAGGCCTCTTCGGCGGTTTCCCGTTCTGGTCTCTTCAGGGATCTCCTTCCTCGTGGCACCACCCGTTTCCGTGCTGGTACCGCTTATTCCTTGACGGTATTAACCCTGGGATGATTTTTTACCAGAGCCGTGCCATGATCGACATGGTTGCACCCCACAGTGGTGACGCATCATGATCGGAACCAGCAGGGTTGATCTAGTGATGGGCAATTTCGGCGTTGGCTTCAGCGTCTTGGTCTTGGTCTTCGTCCAGGTCTTCAAACGTGGTCAGATCTCGATCTTGGTCCTGTACTCGGCCGTACCTGCCCGTTTTTTATAAACCTCGACCAAAACCAGGTCCAACACCGATTTTGCTCATCACCAGGTCCATCAGTTAAGAGACGCGATTAGTAGAGCAGATCCTCCGAGTTCCATCCGAGATGTCGCAGCGGCGACGTTTCCCGCGGATCTTTTCTCTTGTGACCTCATTGTTGACTTTCGGCTCCTAACTTTTGACTCGGCCGGTCGCGTGGGAGGGAGTCCCGCATGCGGTCGCGGCGAGTCCCGCACGCGGCCGCTGCGGCGTGAGTCACCCGTGGCGCATCGAATTCGGAACGACTTGCTATCGGAAGAAGGTGGAGAGCCACGAGTGCAAATTCCCCGGAACGATCACGAGGTTCTCCCGCGATCGCTCGTCAAATCGCACACAATGCCTCGTCATGTATGGGCCCATGTAAGGCGCCACGCGTCGGGCCCGAAAATTGGGTCGCGACGCCAACTTTGGGCCCCGAAGAGGGTCACCGCGGAGTAGCGAGCTCTCCTTCGGCGCGATTGCTTTCTCTATTTAAGGGAGAGTGGCGGGCTCGAGGAAAGGAGCATAATCGCCGGCCACTCCGTTTATACCGGGCCGTTTTATTCCACGCCCTTAAGGAAAGTAAGGCGCCGCCGGGGCCGCCTCTGGAGCCCGTTCTCCGGGAACGACGTTGCGTAAAAAAAAAAAAAAAAAAAAAAATGGAGGGAACCGCCGTTAAAACGCGATCGTTGGCTGGCTTGGTGCGACGTAACATCCCGACCGTCGACTTCCTGGGGGAAAAAGCGGCCTCGTCCCGACGCCGGAAGGAGGACTCGACCTCCGGACTCGCGACGTGATCCGCCGGGTAACGAGCCGGTCGCTGACTCACCGGCGCATCATCTTCGCCGATCACCTACGCACCCGTCGTTCCCCGATCGCCCTTAACGCCCGTACCGGAGATAATTGGCCGGTCAATCCGAAACAATCCGCTACAGCGCCCCTCAAAGGCGGTCCTCCGACTGCGGTAAACCACTCTCGAGACTTTCCGCGCGCGAGTTTCTAAGTTTCTATACCGGTCCGGGTAACGAGCGACGACCCGGCCGGCGTCCTCGCAACGAAACCGGCGTTCGTCGTTATACGGGAAGGAATATCCCGTTCCTCCAGGTCTCGCCGCGATTAAATCGGATGCGTGGCCTCTGTGAAACTACGTTTCTTGCCTTCCCCCCCGACTCTGTCGCGTTCACCATTTCGGAACGCTTTGTTGCGCGCCGTTGTGCGTGGGGAACCTCTTCTTGCGCGAGGTCGGACTCCCTTAATGTCCCCGGATCTCTGAGGGAACTCGCCAGCTACTCCGTCGAATATGTGCGAGCGGACAGATCGAGTTTAATTGCAAAACTCTGGGCGAACTCCTTTCACTCTTCACAGTGACGGCCGCTCGGGGCTGAGGAACTCCTGGCAGGAATTTCAGGGTTAGAAGGAAAACTTGATACCGTATGAGGAAACCTCGTTCCCACGTCTCGTTGTTGACGGCGTTGGAGGGACTCCTTGAGAGGGTCCTCTGGGTCGAAGGATCTAAGGACAGACCAAGAGTCTCTCGAAGGACGTTCCCGCTTCGCCGTGAATCGCCGGCCTCGAAGAGGGTCGGCTTCACAAAGGACGACACGGCCGAGCGAGGTCGGACATGCTCGCCAGTGTTCGCTACGGATGTTCGCGAGGGAGGACTTAATGGCGGCCAATGGCGTTCGCTAATTTATTGCGAGTCCTCGGGTGGAGCGGCGATAGGGCCGCATACGAACGCGGCCATGTGGGCTGATAAGGCCGAGCGCGATTCCGCATTTCCCACGCTTCCGCCATGTCGTGCTCCGCTTCCGAAGAGGAGACCTCGGGGACGCGATTAGTCGAATGGACGAAATCAGGGGCATGGAATTTATTATTGAGTCCAAGGTGGCGAAGGTAGGGAAAATGGAAAAAATTTCAACGCCAACCCCAGGATAGCCAAGAGAAATTGATAACACCAGATGGACGGAAGAATTGTTTCAAGTAATGTTAATAATGGAGGTAATACAATATGGGATTGAATGAAGGGATAATGCGGAACAAAGGTGCATGAATGCGAATTTTGTTGATGGAAGAGAAATAGGTTTGGACAATTATTGAGGGGGGATGGTTTAGGGCGACTTTTTGGGGGTGATGGCGGGGCAACCTAGATTCGGGACCTAATTCGGAGGGGACCAGGATTGGAAGGGGTCTTCCCACGATTACCCGAGTTCTAGATGCGGATTTTCGGGAGCAAGCGATTCTTGCGCAAGGGCCTCGGTACGCGACTCGGGCACAAATGGAGAACGGTGATCTCTCCGTCGAGCGAAACCACCGAGACAAGCGAAGGTCCTGACCTCGGGTTTCGCCTCGGCGTCCTCGGCACTCTTTTCTCGCAAGTCGCGGACCGAATTTGCGCGTTATTCAGGGACTTTCGAGGACTAAATTCGTGGGCGCGTCGAGGGGTCCCGGGTCAGTCAGGGGCCTCTCGAAATTTAAGAGCGGTCCATGGTCGTTCCTGAACACCCGGGATACCTCATCGAGGAGAATACCGAGATACTCGGAACTTCCACGTCGATGCTCAACTTTCGAGCATGCCATTTGCATAGCTAAGAGGCCTAATGCGAGAATAATTGAGCGCATGCGAGACCAACTCGGATCGGAGAAGAAGGCCCATCGAGGGAGCCGTAACGAGCAAACTTTGTTTTGGTCTTCCTTGTTTTGGTCGCGCAAAAAAAAAAATGAAAGAAAAGAAATAACCGGAAAAAAGTGTAAAATGAAAAACCAGGACCTGGGCATATATACAAGGTTTAGACGAGGAAGCGCAAAGGGACCTCGGAGTCGAGCCTGATTCCTGCCAAGGATTCTCCTCGGCTCTCCAGCGGCGGGGATTTCACTTTCCGCGCCGATTTCTCATTCCGATTTCCGATACTACCGCGACCCGGTGCCAAGTCGACTTCCTCTTTTCACCGAGGAAGCGAAGATGCAGATCGCCGCCGAAGGGAAATGGAAAAATCGGAGGGAAAGGCCGATCGGCACCCAGGACTCGCGAGATGCGGATGACTCTTCGAGGTGGCGGAGGTTCCCGAGGTTCCCGAGGTTCCCGAGGTTCCCCTTCGGGGAACGGATAGGGAAGGAGGAGAGGCTCGTGGAAACTCGCCGGAAAATCGGGCCGGGAAGGCGTTCTCGAAAATGAGCTGCTTACGGGACCGCAGCCAGACCAGGGCCCGATCGAACTCCTTGAAAGGCGAATACGTGACCGGAATCGATTCCGGCCGATCCACGTGCAGGCTTTTACGTTTCATAGAAACCGGCTGACATTCCTGCCGGCACAGTTTCACGCTGTACATTTTCGTGGCCAGAATGCGAACGGGCATTGTCATTCCCGCGGTGTTGTCGGTGGTGTACGTGGCAGGCCACGGCTCCTTTCTGCCGCATCCCGAAGGGACAAGGGACCCCAGAAAAAACCCACAAATCTCCCCGCCAACTTCCCCATATTACCCGAAAACCTGAAATCTCACTTTCTCTAACGATCGATCTGGATTAGGGGGCAAATAGACGTCAGAATACCACAATTTATGGACATATGGATTTTAATCAAGCTTCATAACCGGAAACTATAAATCCTTACGAATCTCTTGTCATATAACGAAAGCCAGTCTGAATTAGTCCCCGAACGTCGATTCGAAGTCTAAGCGACGATCCATGATTTTTCACAAATTTGTACATTTTCCAATGTTGTAAAGAGAATCCTAGGCTGGATTTCCAGGCGCGCGCGCACTGTAAAAAGTCGGCGACGTCTCGTAAACGCGGCCTTACTCGAGCGCCGACGAGCCAAGTACGGACACTCGTCCGGCCATAGAAATCAGCCTTAACCCGCGAGTGGTTGTCGACCCACAAATAACAGCCGGTCGCTGTTGATCGCTCCGAATTACGAGATGCGCTCCTCTTTCCCGCGCGGCCTCGTGCCGGGGCCTAATGGCGGCCACTTATGGACCCGGAGGATCGGTTTTGACGGAGGCTGCGGCGAGCGCGAAGACGCGGCCTCGCTGATGGCTATCCGAGTCTTATCCCCGGTCGGCATCGATCGTGAGTCATTCCCGCGACGACCGGTCTTCCTCCGAGAGTCCAAGGCGATTCCGAGACCGAGTCGAGTCGCAAAGACGCCTTTGTCTCTCCGGGAGGGACGAAGGCCCTCTCGCTCTTTTGCTTCCTTTCCGCTACCATCGCGATCGCATTCCTTCTTGGACTGCGACGTCCGTGGGCGAGGTTCTAACATGACAACTTTAGGGGTTTAGGGTGGAGTTTGACGTTGGAAGGTTTGTCGGTGGTGTTCCAACTTCCATCTTCAGAATCGGTTAGGGTAGAATTTAATGTCACAAGGTCTGTCAGCGATGTTTCGATATGACGCCTGGTTTTGGGATGGAATTTCCCTTTACAAAGTCTATGGTGGTCTAATGTCACTCTTTCCGGGATTAGTTTTGGAGTTAAGTTTCATACGTAACCGCAATGAAAAGTTTTAATTGATAAGCTTAGGTTGATAATCGTGTCTCTGGTGTTCGGTTGCAGGAGCCAATCCAAGGCGTCGTATCTGGCGTACCGGAGGGAGCGAGGGGCTCCCGATAGCGAGGGGAGCTACAAGAGGACCATGTCACCCACGGCCCGCCTGGACGACTGGCCTCCACCTCGGGACCGGGACGACCCCGTTCTGCTGCGAGTTACGCCACATCATCCTCATCCTCTGCACCAGCACCATCACCACCACCACCACCATCACCATCAACAGCACCCCGAGTTGCCCAAATCCCACAGCGTGGACGCGCTGCACCACCGAATCGAGGACCGGACTGCCCACTCGGTGGAGGTCATGGGGAAGCTGTCGCACGACCTGAGCAAGAAGCTGCAAGCCTCCGAAGTCCGAAGTCGCGGGGAGAACAACAACGTGGACCACATCGAAGACCGGCACGAGAGGTCGGAGAAGTCCCCCTTGGACCAGGTCGAGCGGAAGGAGAGGTTGTCCCCGCAGAGCATCGAGGTCCTGAACGACAGGAACCGCCAGCTGGAACGAGAACGGAGGAAGCTGGCAGCCAGCTGCGAACCGACCTCGAAGAGACTCCTACCAGAAATCCCAAGAGGAGCCGAGGACTTCTACCGGGAGAGGAGTGCCACCATCGAGATGACCTCGAAGAACGTGGAACTGCTCAACAGGCGCAACGTCCTGGCCGAGAAGAGATCCAGCAGCGAGGATGCGGGGTCAGACTCCAGGCAGCCCTTGGGTCTCCCGGCAGGATCTCCCCCCAGGTCTCCCGATTCAGAGGCCAGGGACAGTCCGACATCGAGATCTCTAGGAGGGGCAATGCCCAGGAGGTCGGGAAGCTGCTCCAGCTCCAGCTCCTCTTCGGCCAAGTCCCTGGATCTCGGAGGTCTGACCAACTCCCTGCCCTCCAGGACCTCGCCCAAGTCCTCGCCCAGTCTGGACTCCCCGACCAGGTCGACCTGCGAGCTGTTGGAACGCATCGGGGCGGCCTACAGGAGGAAGATCTCGAGCCCCACCCAGACCGAGTCCACGGGGCCCTCGGAGAGGAGCGACCCCATGGGTGCCCATTCCCCAGGCAACGACAGGTCCAGCCAGACCCATCACGACGCTGTCCTCGGGACCAGGAGGTCGGAACGGGACTGCGAGAGAGTCTCCCCAGCAGACGCCGCTTCCCCAACGAACCCCGTCACGGATTCGTCCAGGAACTCCTCGCCAGCCCAGGAGAAGTGTTCGGTGGCGGTCGGCTCGTCTCCTTGTGTATCTCCCCAGCCAGGAATAGAGGGACTCACTCTGGTCCAGAGAACCGAGGTGGTCCTGAGGGTCAACGCCACCACCAGCGACGCGGCGTCGCAGACGGAGCTTCCGGCTGACGAGGGCGCGGCCTTCCGGGAGAGGGTCGAGGACGTTCCGGAGCCCAGGAAGAAGCTCCCCGAAGAGATCGAGTGCGAGGAACTCGGCCGCGACCTCGCCAGTCAGCTCAATCCCAACGACAAACTCGTGCCACTTCTAGGTAACTCTTCCTCCCAACTCCCAAAAATGTCGTCACCAAGGGAAGCGTTCCCGAAGAAGGTCTTGAAACCGCCAGGGCATCGGATCCTCGTCTGCACCCAGTCTAGTAATCCCTTTAGGCTAACTCACTTAGTCTCGAATCTTTACCGGATCACCTCGTTTGGCTTCGGCTTCGTACCCCTTCGAAGTCCCCAGGAACCCAGCAAACCGGACAAGAGCGACGACCTGCATTCTAACGAGATGCGGACCGATCGATGATAGCGGCACGTCATTTAATTACCGATTATCTCAGCTTAACGACGTGGAACCCTCTCGCGAGTCGCTGGAATGGCCTCGACTCCCTCGACCCGTGTTAGGACCTCTTTATAACGCGGTCCGCTAATTAATTTGCATCGACCGGCACGGTGCCGCATGGGAATTGCACATTTACATTTACGCGGTGTACAATGGAGTTCTCCTCTATGTGCAGTTCCAACGCCGGAGCACAAGAAGCCGACCGATTACGTGTCCGGGCTCTTCAGAGTGGAGGCGACCTTGCACCCAAGGCCGAGACAGCGACTCTCTCTAGAGGGGACCTCGCCTACGAGCTTCGAAAACGAGGAGGAAGAGGACAAGAGGTAGGTACACCCGATGGAAATTAAATCGAAGGGAAGAGGCCCTCTTCGTGGTCCCCAGGTTCACGTCCACTCGGGAGTTCCCTATTTCCAAGCGTCCTCTGGACCCACCCGAGAGTTTCCTATTTTCAAGGGTCTGTTTCCACAGTTCTCGGGCATATAGAAGGAACCAGGGGTCATGTCGAAGAGGGTTTATGTCCACTCTGGAAATCTCTTAACGATGCAGGTCCACTCCCGAGGACCCTCCCGCAGGTGGCGCAGACATCGCGATGGCCTTGCGATCAGTCCACGCTTAAGAACGCTCGACCGGGCCTGGTCTTCCTGCAATTTCCCTCCTGGCGGTCTCGTTTTGTTCCCCAACCCGGCGTCCAGCTCGTGACTTGAATTATTAAGAACTCACCAGGGTTCGTTGACTCGCGCGACTTGCTGCCTCTTAATAAACCAGCCGCCAAGATGGCCGCCGTGGAGAACGCCGCCGGGAGGGCTTGCTGCCAGAATTCGTCGCCCTCGCCTGCCTGTCTTCCAGGAACGTGATTAACCACGGATATTAGACAGACTAAAGTAGAATTCGGAGACGGTGGGAAATCGATGGGAGCATTTTGGATGTAATGCAGGCTTGTAGAGAATTTCCTGCACGAAGGGCTCGTGTCTTTGCCCCCCGCCGCGCTTCGCCCCGTGGAATGAATTATTAAACAGGTCCTGTATTACATCGATTGTCTCGGGAATCGAGCACCGACCGAGTCGGCTCTCCTCCCCACCTGAAAATGAAAAAAAGGAGCCAAAAGGTCCGAGTGACATCGCGCATTCTTTGGCGTCCATGAGAGCTCCATTGCCCGACGCTCGCGGTGTGGGCGTAGAGTCGAGATTCCTGCCGGGCTTATTAATACTCGGTTATGGTTGGGAATTAATTGTCGTCTCTAGCACCGCCTAATGCCCCTGCTGCCCCCCCTCTCCACCCTGGTAGCCCTCTCTCCTCGATTCGAGATCTACTTCTCGACCTTTCCTCGGCTTCGGTCCGCGCGACTCGTCACAAAGATCTCCTCTCGGGGCCAATTTGTCATGTCAATGGGAACGCGACGAAATTCGATCGCATCTGGATGCCTCGGTCTGGTGCCCCTTCCTCTGCAGATCGTATCGCCCTGGCCACAGGGCCTGTCGAAAATCTCGGCGAGTCCTAATTGCCGAGAAATGGACAGTACTTCCGCGGCCCGGTGGCTGGAGAAAGTGCAAGAGATGTTGCGTAACGCAGCCCATAAATGATATTGTCAAGTTCTCACCACGTTGAACGGCCCCCGGACTCCTTGGCTTGGCAGTTTCCGACGAAACGCCGGTAGCGCTGCATCAGGATTTATGCCTGCTGCCCCGCCGAGCCATCAGGGTGGAGAAATGGCGGGGTACGAGGTGCTAAGTACACGTTGCGCGGTTAAGGCGTCGTTGAATCGAGGTGGCGAACGGGAAGGAAGGTGGAGGTGTCTTCGAGATCTCATCAGCGATGGTGCTTTTCTTTCAGAAATGGTTCCTCTACGCCCTCGTCCCCAGCGGCCCTGTCAGCTACGGATCCGAGTAGCCCCCTCTCGCCTACGTCGGCGTACTTCACCACCTCCGAGGGCAAGGCCAGGTTCCTGACGAGATACTCCCGGGACGTCAGCGAAGAAGTGGCTCAGGGCGGCGACGACTCCACTCCAGTCGCCGCGTCGGATAATCTGGACCTCAGGCAGAAGAAGGTACTTGAGGGGGATTTAATTGGCAAGGAACGAGTCGAGTGGGTGCTTATGTCTTACTTGTGCAGGAGGAGCTGATGATCCGGCTGGACAAGAAGCTGGTGGTCCTCAGGGCGGAACAGGAGGCTGTGAGGGAGGAAGGCGAGGTGAACGAGGCTCTAGGTGCACGGGTTGCAAGTCGGGTCGCTGCGGTAGCTCGACCAGCCGAGGCTTCGAAGTACAGACTGCACGTCGAGGAAGTTGGGAAGATCACGAGTCTTCTTCTGGGTCTGAGTGGGAGGCTGGCGAGGGCGGAGAACGCCCTCTTCGGCATGCCTGCTGATCACGCCGAAAGGGTAAGCAAGACTTATCCGTCTCCCTGTCTAGGGAACGCGTGTCCGATTCGATCCGATCCTTGCAGAAAATCCTGGAGAGCAAGCGGGACAAGCTGATGGACCAGCTGGAGGAGGCGAAGATCCTGAAGAGCAACATCGACAAGCGGAGCGTCAACGTTTCGGCCATCCTCGCCAAGTATCTGGACGACGACGAGTACGCGGACTACCAGCACTTCATCAACATGAAGGCGAAGCTCATTATGGACGGCCGGGAGATCCAGGACAAGGTCAAGCTCGGCGAGGAGCAGCTGGCGGCCCTGAAGGAGGCCATCGACTAGGACGAGGGACGTTCCCTGGTATCCGATCACCTCGGAGACCCTCTCGATGTGGTCAGGATCAGACCCGGAGTCAGTCTTGAGCAAATATCCCGCGGGATACTTCCAATGACTGAGGGCCCTCTCGAGGCCGTATCAAAAGCCGAGACGTAGCGACTCCGCGACTTGGGACGCCGACGTTCTTCGGGATCGCCGGAAAGGAACGACTTAGCGTCTGCCCAAGTGACGGGAGTAGCTACTTGACTATTAACTAAGTTAACGTCGCGCGAGTGCCTGTGCGAGCGAATGCGTCGGATGCGTGCATGGTCTTTACATTTAACTTCGTTGGAAGATGCGTTTCCTGCTTTCTTGAGATCGACAGGGTCCGTGCTTTCGACTTAAGATCGACGCCGAGCCGAGCGCGATCCCGGAAGAGTGAACCTTCAGTGCCTAGTCCTATTAAGTTTGCGAATCTTGGTCGCGACGTCCGGTTTCGCGAGGGTTTGTCGCGGGAGACGGAGATGACGAAGAGGTACCGCGGGACCTGGGGTAATTCGTGTAAATAAGGGGACAATATGGAACGTGTCGCTCTTAGAGACTCTTAGGGAAGTCTGAGAGGATCTCGACGACAAGGATTCCACCTTCGAAATTTCTTTCCGACATATCAGGGCTTTCTAGAAACGTTCGGGCGATTCTGTACGGAGGAGCTGTCGGAGCTCCTCGAGGAATACCCGGCTGAGGTACCAGAAGAGCGGTAGCTCGTAGTGATAAATCTTATTTATTGCCCGTTTCGCGAGGACGCGTATAAATTAGGCGAGGTGTCGCAAAATTCCAGGGGGACCGAAGATAATCAAAATTCTAATTATATATATATATATATATACATACATATAAATATGTACACAGGTATGCGTACCGCGTTAATAGGCGTCGCATTGAACGTATTTATGGCTAAGGCAGAGAGAGAAGTCATCGCACCGAAGGGTGCGATTGCGGTGCAATATGTATCTCTTTTCCCCGTCCCTTCCCGAAGGCCCTCTTCGAGTCGCGTGTACAGAAATCGAGGTGGAGCCTCGAAGTATTCGGGAAAATCGGCGCCTTCTCCCCGGGGGGAAGAAAATCGCTCGCGGAGAGATTTTGTCCAGCCTTAGGAAACCACGGTGAACTCTTCCCCGCTCCGTCGCGTGTGTGTCTGCCGAATAAGTGCGCGTGTCGAAGACTCGGCCGATCGATCGCATATTGTACCTAGCCTTTACAGTGGTGCCTTCTTACATTATACATGTGATATAAGAGTAAGGAGAGGAGACGTCCCGTTCGCCCCGGAGACGAGGGACGAACGGACCTTTGTAGCATACACCCGACACGTCCATGTAACACGTACTGTACATACGCGTAGCCATTAAGACATCCAGCCCACCTTTAACAATACCGACACCTACACTCATGCTCGGACCGCCGGAAATGCCGTCTCACATCGTCTCGTCCCTAACCCGGGACCGAAAGGTCCAAAGCTTGTGATCTTACTTACTCTACGGCTAGATGTCGGGAAACCTCGGAGAGAGAGAGAGAGAGAGAGGGCTGTTTGGAAGAGCCTCTTCGAGCCTTCCCGGCGAGACTAACGAAATTTTATGCCCCGGTCAGCTTCCTGGTAGCTCCATCGCTTAGACTCGTCCTCTGCGCCCTGAAATAAATCCTCGTTTAGTTCGCCTGGATCGAGAAACGTCCGAAACTACGCGATAACCTGTACGGAAATGTATAATTTCAGTCCTGGAAGTGCTAAGAACGGGTCTGCGGGAGCTGCAGGTGCGACCATCATGGCGGCTCTTGGTTCGCTAGGACCTTGGCGAGGAGTCCTCTGGGCTTTTGGACTCGGTAATGAGACACGTACCGACGCCTCAGAAGCCTCGCGATGGACTCCGCGTCCATAGATTCCTTGCAGAGGAAGGAAATAAGAGCGAGCGCCATTTTGTCCAAGGAACCTCGACGGGGTGGGTCTCCGAAGACTGGACGCGGGGCATAAGATTTTCCCCCCTTTTAATAGTCAGTTCTCTGTTCCTCGCGAGTTAATTAATATCGTTTGCAAAGCGGCGGAGGCGCGATCTCGCCGTTGGATAAGACCGGGGCCGATTTGTTAAGAAGAAACATGGCCGCCGTGGCGTCGCCTTCTTTCTTCGCGGTCGTCGCACGGCGCGGCTAGAAGTGTACATAAGCGGTATCACTTGGAAGTAATATGGTGCTCTTGACTTGTTTGCACATCGAAAATGTTCCGTTTAATGTTCTCTTAAGGTGTCGTACTTTAAGGACCGTTCTGATATTTAACGTATCCCCTGCGATTTACACACCGCCCCCTCTGTTGTACATACATTATTATATCATACAACCCACAAGAACCGCCGGTACCGCGACGCGACGCCAACGTCACCTATCGGCGACACTTGGTCGTCGCAGTCTGACAATATTATCGTTACGATACAGTTATGAGATATTACGATAGCTACCTTCTCAAGCTCGCTTGCAATAAAATAACACATTGAAAATTAACACCTCAGTGACCCTATAATCGTGCTCGTCTGGTCTCTAAGTTAACCATTTTAATTTCCAGCATTAGCATCTGCGCGTGTAAATTCCTTCGTTACAGATTCGCCGGGATTAATCAGATATGAGTTGGGAGATTGCTCACGGGCAGGGTCACGCGATCACATCATGTGCTGCCCTCTGGTTTCGTACGTTAGTTTTCACCGTTTTTTGCCCCCAAGGGCGGCGCAACGAGTTTCTGGTAGGGGCTCGCGGACTCGCGATGGCGGTGCCATCTACCAGTCGCCGTTGGCGGCTCACGTACTCGTGATGGTAATACCATGCAGCAGTCGACGGTGGTGGCTTACCTACGCTTACCGAAACTGCTCGCTTTTGATGGTCAGGGAAGAACACTCGTGACGCTCCATTTGACTTTACCCTTCACTTACCTTATTTATTTTATTCGCAAATTTCATTACATACAGGCAAATACTGGCAAAACTACAACGTGGGTGCTCGAGAGTTGAGTTATACTTTATATACAATTTTTATAAGCTCCGGAAATTAATAAAAAAATAATAAATGTCTCCTAGGGAACACATAAAACCTAGACGGAAGGAGGTGCTAAGCCCTCCTCGAGTTTCTCAACGGAGGGTCCGAAGAAATTCACGTTACCAGCGGAGGAGATGCGGCCGATAAACGCCGGAGGACTCCCACATCCTGGAAAGTTAGATAATCGCAGACTTCCAAGGAAGGCAATTAGCGGCATCGGACATCTGACCTTTCCTTGATGAAGCCTTCCAAGGAACACTTATTGGCCGGTCACTTTTTCTGGGTAATCTGGAGATGATGGAGTCATCAACGATTCCCGGCACGTACAGGCCTAGAACGGTAACATACCTGCGGCCTGATCGCCTTTCCTTGGGGTTGGGTGAAATAAAGACACCATGATGACCGTGTTCTTAATTGCTCCATTCTTGAGAGCTCGACGGTCTCCTTCGTCTTCGTCGGCACCTCTAGGAAGAGCTGCGAGAGGGCGTCTGGAATCAAAGATCGCATAGAAAATGGACGACGAGCGAGGCGCGCATTGCGAGCCAAGATGGCGTCTCCGAAGGTGCGCTGGAAAACGAAGGTGCAATACTTCGCCATGCCTCCCAGACTGGAAGTGAATTCTCACTTCCGCGAGTTGCTGCCACGGGCAGCGGAGCAAGCGCCATTGCGGAGGATTTACGGGGTAGCGGGGGCTAATAGTAGCAGTCCGCGATACAAGATGATCGAACAGACTACTAAAGGTCCAACGTTAACGATGCAGAAGCAATGTATTCAGCTGGTCGTTAGAAAAGCGGAGCCAAGTCTGAGTTGGCGCGCCGTCGAGCCGCGCATCGGCGTTTCCGTTTGGGGAGGCTCGTTTGGGTTTTAATTTTTATCGACGTCGACGTGGCCCGTCAGGGTCAATTCGCGTAACCGGCCGGGAGAGCAGCGCCGGGGCTGGGCCCCCGGCGCGTAGAAGCCCGGTCATTAGGACGAGTCTCCGCGAAGTCGGCCGACTTTTATCGGCCCGTCCAATGGAAATCGGGAATTGGACCCGGTCCAAGCGAGCGCTCGCAAAAGGAGGGTCCTGCTTAATTGCATCCAGCCGCTTGAGGCGCGTAAATTTGTCGAAGGCAGAGGAAAAGGAGCCGGATAAACCCGGTTCCTCGTTGACGTAGAAGAACGTGCCCCGGATCCATTTTCGCGCGGCCGAGGACTCGATAACACTCGACGGGATATTCTAGGTGCGACCGTAGCGTCGAGGTCGATTCGCCGCGGATCGATTCTCGACGGACCCAAGTCCAATCGCGAATTGCTTTGTTCCGGGCAGAGATGAGTTGGGAGATTGAGAGAGAGAGAGGGCGAGAGAGTCTGCCGTTGGGGGCAAGTCCGTTAGCCGCCTGCATACTCCACCGAGGACAACACAGAACGCGATCGCGCGACCCTGCCCATGAGCAATCTCCCAACTCATCTCTGGTTCCGGGTCTCTCGGAGATCGGCGGCGTCCGTTAGCGGCGTCGGTAAATCAGAGCGCGGCTCCGGCCGAGGAGTTCGCCGGAGCGCCGCCAGAGGGTGGCGGCGCTGCGCACTAAATCCACGGCCGTTCCAGACGAGAGAAGTGAGATCGCCCCGACAATTTGCTCGCCGTATCCCTAGGAAGAGCGGTGGAGGGAGAGACGTCGTCCCGAGGACAAAGGGAGTCGGTGAGGCGGTCGACTATCGAGATTGGATCGAGAGGGCCACCCCTCATAAATATGTCGTCAGGACGGTAAACAAACGGGCATAAAATCGGCGCGCGGCGCTCCCCTCTTCGTCGCCGGTGGCGCATCGCCCTGCGGTCGTGTCGCGGCCGCGGGGATTTAGAGAGCCGGGAAATTTATCGCCGCGGCCCGGGCGGACGGAGGAGCCGCCGCGGAAAGAACCGAGACGTCGGAAACTCGACCCGGGAAAAGCCCCGACCGCCCTGGCAGCGACTCAACAATCGTCGCGCGCCTTTTGCCACTTCGCTAACTCGTTCGCAAGGAACGCGCTCTCCTAACCTCTCCGTGAGGGCCCAATAAAACATCCGATCGTCTGGGGCCTGATGGCCCCGTACCGCGAAAGGGTTTGGAAACGCTCCTCGAGAGATATTTAGTTCGCGGAGCTTGCGGGTAGTGTGCGAAAGCAGAAGAGGGAAAAGGGAAGAACGAAGAGCGAAGAGCGAAGAGAGAAGAGCGAAGAATCTCGCAGAGGCTGCTGGGCCGCGGGGAGACCAGACGGAAGCGAGAACGCACATCGCCGGGTGTGTTATTTGAGTTATTTCACACATGGCGGCCGATCGATAGGCATCGCATTGCATTCTAGATGCTCCTCTCGTCTCTTACGTGGCTCCTCGCCCCTGCACTTTGCCTGGCGCAAGTGCAACGTCGGAATACACCCGATGTCTCGGCCGATTCCCCGACTCCATCCGAAGAGTGGCGGAAAATTTACGTCCTTTGAGGTTATGGCTCTCGTTACCGAGCGGTACATTTGGTGCCGTTTTGCAACTACGGCCGTAGCCTTGTCGAGAGGTCGTCGATGGATCTACCGTTATCGTAACGAGCCTCGGCTTCTGGATAAAAACCACCGCGGGAATTCGACGCAGCAGGCGAGCTATCGAACGAAAGGAGAACGTGGAGTGGACAGTAATCGGCGCCATCGACGTCTTCCGGAGGGAAAGAGAGGGAGAGAGCTTCGGGGAAGGTCGATCATCGATTCCTGGACCACCGTCTGGAGTTTCGGCGCTTACCGGTGCCATCGTTGCGGCATCGCGGCGGACCGGTGATATAATGCGCCAATAAAAATGCAGAGTGCATCCTGTTCCCTCTTCTCTCTCTCTCCGAGGTTCCAGGGGTACGTGGGTGTACTAGCGGGGTGCCCACCGAAACCCGTGGAAGCTGCAGATTCAGATTGAATGCGCATCCCTGGAAGTACTCGAGAGGCCCCGCGCGCGGCAGCGCCGCCGAGTGGAGGCGTCTCGAAACTGGGAAATAAACATCCGGAGGGTCGGAATGCACGGCCTTCCTGTTTTGCCCCGCTTCGAGGAAGAGCCCTCTGGAAGATGCCCGTTCCCACCAGGAGAGCGGCATCCATCAGCGAGTCCAGAATCGGCCGACGTCTCGGAGCTCCTCAATTATGGACCGAGAAAACTCGACTCAAACTTTAGCTCCCATTAGCCGTGGAGCCGCCGATCGATCGGATTCGTAGGCCGGCGTTAACGACGCGGCCAGGAGGCGGGACGGATTTTTTAAAGGCTGTCGATCCGCCAACCGACACGTGAACGCCACATTCCACCGGTCTTAAAACGAACTCGGGACGTGCACGCACGTCCGTGCCGGAACGTGAAATTCAGCAAAGCACGGATGTTGTCACGCATCGTTCGAGGGCGGAATAGGAGGGTGGACGGAGTTATTAAAGTGGACGTCCTCCCGTAACGCGGAGGCCCGGAGACGCGTCGTTCCGGGGACGGAAAAATGTCGCCGAGCGGGTTATTATAAGCGGAAGGGAATGCAGTTAATGTCGCGCCGGCAATGGGCACGGCGGCCACGCGGCGGCTTTTGTGTGCGATGCATGTAAATGCATCGGAAACGACCGCATAGTTGCGTGAATCATGGCAATTATCGTTTCTGTCCCCCCCTACGCCCGGCGCCCGACAACCTGGCCGCGATAATCGCTCCCGCGATTTTCGCTGCGCTTTCCGTGACATCCGGAGGACCTCTCTTCACCCACATCGGCCGTTGTCCTTAACACACTTCGCCTGGCTATTTTTACCGGCGCCACTTGATACCGCCGGTTTGCCCGCAACAGATATTCCACCGCCGGCGCTGTAATGGCGGAATAACGATGATGGCCGGATCGATCCCCGCGGGGGAACAGTAGTTTAAATTGTTTCTGGATTCCCTGGCCCTGTGGGTTTCGCTACGGCGGAGTTTCTTCCCGCCGAGCGAGGTTTTGCTGAGCCTGCGTGGCGTGCAGCTAGCTGCAAGGCCATTTACGTAGAGCGCGGATCGAGATAGTTCCGAGAGATAGCGGATTCCTCGTCTCTGAATCGCGTAATTTGCCGCTCGAGTGCCGATTTCAGGATGTTTCCTTGGCAAAAGACGCACACGTTACGTGGCCGCCGCGTGGCGGAACAGATGGGCGCCATCGGGCCCACGCATCCTTCCTGTCCCAGAGACACGGTCACTTCGTTCTCGGAACGAGGGACCCCGTCGACCTTGTCTACTCCGCTCCGGAACGGGGCTCCACGGGCGATTAAAATGAAAAATGAGCCCGCGGAGCCGTCACTCCAATCGAGGAACGCGATCTCCCGGATTCGGACGAGCCGCCGAGCCACCTGTAACCACCCGGACCGCGCACCTGCATTAGACGAGGTTTCCGTTTATCAGGCAGAGCTCTTACCTCGACTCCAGACCCGTGGGGTACGGCCACTGTTCCTGCAACTTCTCTGCGGTTGAATCGATCCATCGGGTTCATCG